CGCTGGCCCACTGACCAATCACGGCGCACGTTAATGCAGACGTACTTAGGAGGCTACCTGGTTAGCACTGGCACGTCAAAGAATACGCCCAACATGTCAAACTAAAGATCTGATTGGTTGAAGACGATGACAATCAACAATATCGTCCCCATTCACTTAAACTGCAAAGGCTCTCTAGCCGGCATCGGGCCTCTCTCCTTACAGAGAGACAGGGGCTGAATCTGATTGGATAAAAGCTCTCCTTAAAACAAGCTGTGCTGGAAGCAGCGCTGCAGGCTGGAAGCAGAGCAACAGAGGCAGACAGGAGCTGTGCAATGAGACAATAAGATAATGTGAAAAAAAATAGCTATAACTTTATGATTCTGTTTAGGGCAGCAGAGAAGGCTGAGCTGGCCCTGGCGGCCCACCACTGTTACGAAGACATAATGTTCAAGTTTAGGAAGTATTTAGAGCAGTCGCAGGCACATTTTTGGTTCACTTCTCTTCCATCAGATCATTGACTTGCTTTTTTTACGGTTTGCTCTCAGTCATCCGGTGTTTGTTTTTCCTTTCCACCTCTGCATTTCTCCATCCTTGCCTCGTTTCATCTCCATTTTATTGTCCCATCTGCCCCCAGCTGCAGATCTCTCCTCTTTCCCTCTGTTTTCTCCCACTCCCTCCGAGCGCGTGGCTGAGGTGTGAGATCATTCTCCTTCTGGGTGGCTTTCCTGCTATATGTCACTGTCATCTGTTGGCACCGAGGCTTGAGGGGGGGTCCCCTTTTTCCAAAAACACACCGCACTCCGCTTCACCACCCTGAGCATAATAAATTCTTGGGCATGAGACCGGAGAGCGGCGCTGCGTGTTTTACTGGACTTGGCAGGCTAACGCATAGACCGGTGAGAGAGGGAAAGCAGAGAGAGAGGTAAGGGGAGGCGGGGGCGGGGGGTGGAAGATTTATAATTGAATAACTCCCCAAAGCAGGGCAGCGGGGATTGGCCCTGCCAGGAAAAGCAAACGCCAAGGGGGCGAATGAGGCCTGTGGAAATCAGCCATTAAAGTGAGCGGAGAGAGAGCCTCAGCTCCGCGATGGGCCTCAGCAGGAAGGTGAGAGATTTACTAATGATAACTGAAACACCACAACACCCTCCAATACGCTCCAAACTCTTGTTTCTACAGCCGCACAAATCAACCTCCTGAAATACTGAGGCCAACACAAATCAGTCTCCGGCAATCAGGTGTTCAGTTACACACACTAAAAAAAATCACAATAAAGAGCTCACCTTATCCAGCACCAATGTGTTGTCGCCTTTTATAACACTCTTGAGTTATTTTACCGGTTTTATCTTAAAACTGTCCGAAATGTATGGTAGTCCAACATTAACTGCGTGACACTCAAAAATGCACAGGACGCACAGTTTTCTTTATTAACAATTAGTAACAAATAGTGGCACTTATGTTTTTAAAGAGAGAAGTTGATAACAGTTGGAAACCATAGCATTCGGTTTAGGTAAATAACCCGAAAGTGGTATAAAAGTAACACTAGGTCTGTTTCTTTATTGACCCAACACAGGAGGTCAAACATTGACCCAGTGTCTAAAACCATCCAAGACATTTTGATCCTTGTGAAGAACAGCAACATAAAAACAACACCAACACTGGGTCAACTCATTGTTTTGGGGTTTCTCCCCATGGCCACCGGGTGAAGTTAACCCAGCGTTGCAGATTTTTTTAGTGTGACGGCAGCCTAAAAACTTGCATAAAAAAAAGCAGCGGGCTATAAGTCAGGGAAAATATTTGAAGGGAATTCATTCCAAATCATGCATTTCAAACTCTGCGGAACAACACAGACGCGTTGTTTTTCCTGTCTCGACTGAACTCGCAGGGGGTCGTCCCAGAATGCAGCGCTCTCCCCACTTTGGACTCTGGGTCTGTGCTGTGGAAGCAGAAGGCAGCGAGGTGGGGCGCTCCACCGATGAGTTTATCTTGCCTGTTTGGCTTGGCGTTGGCGAGCGGAGAGTGAAAGCGCGGAGCGGCAGCATGCGTTAGGCATGAATGGAGCTCTGGACGAGCCGACTCACTTTTCCCTGGGAAAAGGAGCTCCACATCAGAAGGGATAACTCAGGACTGATAGTCCGCTCCGAAACCGAGCAGAAACACTGAGGCGGTGTAACACGGCATGCACCACTGACGGGTCGTCCCGTAAAAGTCCATTCATCGTGTGCACTCGTGGGATGAATCTTAATATGTGGTTGACACATTCAATTACAAACAAGACCCCCCCCTTTGTGTCGAACGCTGAGCGACTTTGCAGATGACATTGAATCCCACTTGGAGACGTCTCACAAAAGATATGAAAATAAATGTAAAAAGCATGCTTGCAAACAGGAACATCTTGCTGAAGAAAAGAAGCTTTTGCTCGTAATAGAAGTGTGGATTTAATAAAGCATGTCACACTCAATGACGCACAAAGGGAGAAGGAAAGTAAAGAGACTTTAAGCAGTGTGCTGGCAACTTTCACCTCCTTTAGGATGGAAAACTGATGTGCAGTCACAGCAACACACACACACACACACAGGCCTGGGGTGTCTGACTTGCTTATTTTATCAGGTGCACCGGCTTCTCCCCCTCCTTGTCTGCAAATCAGTCACAAAGACAAAGATGTCTTCTCCTTCTTCTTGATGCCCTTTAAGGACGATTAACGTTGTTGTGTCTTTCCTGACCACGATGTTCTACTATATCAAGCTGCACCAAAGTGACTGTTTACGTGTGTGTGATTGTACACGAGGACTTATTGCCTGCTATATGGATCACATGCTAGATTTTCCACGGTTTCCCCTTGTCAGTTTCAGAGTTACAGCCCTCCTCTATATATCGCATGTCCATATTTAGTTGCGACATTTTAACTCACACACCAACCAAGCACTGAAACCGAGTGGAAAAGAGAGAAACAACAATACACGTTTGAATATGTTTGGTTTTTCCACTCAGATATGTTCTAATAGCAGAAGTGGTGCAGCGGCGTATGATATGAATCTCATGTCGGATCAGTTTGAACCGCAGCTCTCGCCGCACTGTTTAAGATTAGCAGAGCAAATATCAGACATTTGGTTGTAACAAAACAAAAAAAATATTTAGAAAACCTCAAAACAGATTGAATGAGATCAAAAAACGGGCCCAACTGTAAAATATCTCCCCGAATGGAGAAAGTGTGCTCTTCTTGCTTAGCAGCTCACCATCAGGTAACAATCTTTTTATTTGTTTCAGGCCCTCACTGGGTGCCAAAGTCTGCTAAAGGACTGAGCGTGTGGTGTGATCCATCAGGCCCGTCCAAGAGCTTCAGAGCAGTAATCCATCTAAAGCAGACTCGAAATAGAATTAAATAAATACTTCCATGCTCTGAAACCCAGAATTATTTAACTGTCATTCATACCGTAAAGCAGCGTCCGCATCCACTTAAATGGGGAAAAAAAGGAGAGGACAAAAAAAATGGGACAATCTGAAATTAGTAGCACGGAGAAATGGGCGGAGAGTTTTTGGGGCAGATTTGGTAAACTGCTGATTTATCCTGTGTGTGTGTGTGTGTGTGCGTGTGTGTGTGTGTGTGTGTGTGTTATTAGCGTATTTGTTTTAGTTAGATGATGGATTATGGTTTGATTTAATTAAGATGAATTTGATTCAGCTTTCTAAACAGCTCAACCTTTGTACACCAGGATGTAAATGGAAAAATAAACCAGTTATACATCAGGCTGCTTGGAATCCTCTGTACAATGTTAGTATTGACAATTTCTAAGCTACGGATATTAACTTTGGAGTAAACTGAATTGTTGGGTTATTTCTTTTCATAAAAGAATAAAATTAATTTATAATTGTTGCATCAGTCCATAATATAAATTAGGAGGAAGTCACCTCTTTAAAATCCATGATTTTCTGCTCAAACAGGACTTAATGACGTTTTTTTTTTAACTTCCAAATCAGAAATAGCAAAACACTCGACCAACATATTTTCTACTTGACTATATTAATAAAATAAATAATGAGTGATATACTAAAGGGGGCTCTGGAGGTTTTATGATATATATGATTGAACAGATGAGAACTTTGACATGAAAATGTGTTGTACAGATTTTCTCGCGGGAGCAGGAGTGTGTGTGTGTGTGTGTGTGGCCCTGCGAAATAAGGCAATTATGGCCATGTCTATACTTTCAGCGTTATATCCATGAACGCACACACTTCAGCTGCTCACAGATGTCCTGCTGAGGGGTTTTGATCGTGGAGCTTTAGTGATATTAAGGTTTCATCCCAAAGTGTTACAGACTTTGACCTTGACACCTGGTCTGTCCAACATGCAGCATAATGCTGCTTTTCCCCTCATTTCTAACATGAAATATAATATTATACAAGCATTTTATACACATTAAATAACTCTTTAAGCATCTCAGTAATTGATAATTATGCGAATCACCGTCTAAACTGAAATGATCGACAAAGATGTATTTTGTTACGATTGTAATACCGTGTTTGTATTTTATTTGATCGATTATTTGAAGCGGAAGTGAATCTCATTTTTAGACTGTTGGGCCTCAGCTTTCAGTCGACAAATGATTCTTCACCGATGATTTTATGCTATTTCTTTGGCTGTGTTGTACCTTCTTGTTTGTCAATAGTCTATAATTCTTAACATTTGAATAAAGGTCATTTCGGGTTATTGTCATGATTACGAATCATGGTCGAATGAATTATTTAATTAAGTCAGAATTAGTCAAAACCCAGGAACTGATATTAAAAAGAGTAAACACGTGACATCTAAGAGCAAGTCTGGTGTCTTTTAGATGCTCCATAAGATACATAAACAGCTTTCTATCACCTCGTGGATTTGCACAAAATACAACTGAACGCAAGGTTTAAATATTCACTTTTATTTCTTTCCAGAAAATAAAGGAAACTCGTCATTTAAATATTTAAAAAAAATGAAAATAATTCAAGATCAAAATAAAAAACACGTCTGCTGGAAGATTTTTTTTTTTGCCAAAAAAGTGAAAAGGAGGAGATTTAAAATAAACATATCTACAACATTCTTTGAAAGCAGATTCATCACACTTGAGAAAATCTGCTTAAAATGTCTCTGTTACCTGAGAAAAACACGAGTTCATAGTCCGGCGGTACTGATCATTATTCAATGTTGGCAGCGTGGATGTGTTTGGCCAACTCCACGGTGCCACGCTGAGTCTGTAATTTCTGATACTCCTGGTGCAAACTGAGGAAGTGCGGAGCCGCCGCGGGGTGGAAGAGCGCGGGGGACGCGTAGGCAGCGCCGGAGGTCAGAGGGGAGGAGTACGCGGTGCACTGGGCCGGGGAGAAGCCTTCAATGCCGGGCTGCGCCTGGAGGAAAGCTTTGGCCGTGAGCGCGCCGCGGGAGAAGAAGCTGGAGAGCGCCGGCAGGATGCTGCTGACAGGTGGGATGGCAGCGGGCCCGCACGGCGAGTGCGCGTGGTGATGCAGGTACGGGTAGATCTCCAGACCGGGCAGCTGCAGAGCCGCCGCTGCCGCTGCGCTGAACCCGTAGGCGCCGTGCGCGAAGCCGTGCAGTCCGCTGGGCTCCAGGTGCTGCTCCTTGAGCGGGTCGAAGCGGAAATGCTGCCGCTTGAAGCGCTTCCTCCGCCGCAGGAAGCTCCCGTTCTCGAACATGTCCGAGGAGTTGGGGTCCAGCGTCCAGTAGTTGCCCTTCCCGGGGTTCCCGGGCTCCCGGGGCATCTTTATGAAGCAGTCGTTCAGCGACAGATTGTGCCTGATGGAGTTCTGCCACGCGGGGAATTTCTCCCGGTAATACGCAAAGCGCTGGCTGATAAAGTCGCATATCTCGCTGAGGGTGAGCCGCTTCTTCGGACTCTGCAGAATGGCCATGGTTATCAGGGCGATGTAAGAGTAGGGAGGCTTCACCGACGCGGGACCTTTGCTTTTGGCCGCAGAAGGACACTCCGGCTCGGGCCTGTAGGTGTCCCGCTCTTTGCTCCGGCTGCTGAGAGTCTCGGCGCCGCGCTCCTGCTCGCTCCGCGACTCATCCAAAGGTAAGAGCTGCTCCTCGCCGCTGTCTTTGAGTCCTTCCCCTACTACGTCGATAACAATATCCTCCATGATTTCCAAACCCAATGTCATAGTAGATGCCCGCGGGGTGAAAGCCAGCACCACCTGCCAACAGGTGGGGGAGTGACGGCTCTTCTCTTTAACGCGATGAACAGATTTCTTTAAGCACGACTCATCTCCATTCACCAAATACAAAAAGGGAAGATCCGAGCGCAACCCTCCTCCTACTTTTCAACAAACAAACTCTGCATACTGCAAGCGTTGATGTCCGTTATATTTCGGTGCTTGTATGCGCTAAAAAGGAGCGCTCAGCGAGTGATTTGTGCGTGAAGCGTAAAAAAAGCGTGCGCGTCCTCCGAGATGTCCAGCATCATCTGTAACCTCGGTTGCTTTCCTGCTGGTCGGGTGGATGTGATGTCACGTTGAGGCACGAAGGAAACAGGATCCTGACCAATGAAAACGACGCGACGGGTACCAAGGAGGCCCGTACCAGCCTCCCACGGTGCTCTCTCATCATCGGCGCATCAGTGTCAAATCCACGCGGACCCAAGAGAGCCGTTCAGGGAAAACATCCTTATGGGTAGGAAAATCTATTTTTGGAGAGAAGTTGTTGACTTTGGTGTTGACTAACAATAGGCCACATGTGAATAAAATGAAGACAAAGTAAAATAATAGCGATTTTGGTCTCTAGCCGCATCCGTCAAAAAACTATTACTGGACTTCTAAATTACAAGTTATTATTATAGTGGCCTTCAAAATGATTCAATTTATAGTTATTTCTTATTGTTCTTATTGTAATTATTATTATTATTAAATATTTTTCTTAACGTATTTTTAATTGTGTTAAAAATGAGAAGTATTTGTTCAAAAATAACCTTTTTTTGTAATATTACATTCACCCCAAAACCAGAACTGTAATCTAATATGATAAGAAAATACCATATTTTAATTTCAGATGATATACTTTGATGACATTAGATCAGCATCCTGAATTAAAAGACTAGGGCGGCGGGGGGGGGCCCAAACGCATCTCTACGTGAGGCAGGGATTTAGGCCTTAATCCCGCTCAAAGGCTTCTGCAGCCGCTCTTTGCGCAAACACTTGACGCACAATTACATGTTTTCAGACGTTGATTTTGCCGCTGCGTGCCAAAATAATAACTGCGTCGCCTGCACGACGGTGACTCCTTTGAATGAACTGAACACGCGCCTTGTTGCACTCGGGCTTTCGTTTCTCCTGAGAGAACCGTATCACCATGTGTGGTATGGAGAAGAAATAACATTTGATGTTGCAGCCTGTATAACCTGAGATCTATGGGGTTAGAAACTCTACACTCTCTGTTCTCCACTTGAACGCGAAAACTATCAAAGTCCGCCATAACCCCCTCCCCCCAGTTGGATTATCTTCCTTAATAATAATGGGCGACTGGAAGCAGAGTGGTGATATTGGGATGAAAGTAATAGATTTTCACTCGCTCAGACTTAAAAGAGAAGTGCGGAGCGGAGGGCGCTCTTGGTATTGTTGGGAGGCCTCTGGTTGTTTGTGTTTAATGATGGAGCCCTTTGTTGGGGATTCCCACATTTCCTGCCTCTAATCGTATTGATACCTCGGGGCAGAGTGGGGGGACTGGGTCCGGGCTGGGTGGGCTCTCTATGGTACCAGCAAAGCTGCAGATGATTTCCCCAAATTCATCACGCATGTCTTCAGATTGGAACCAGGCCCCCCTCGTGCGCATTGTGTGGTTCCAAATGAGACGAGAGCGCGGGAGCGTCAAATCGCTGCACAAGCTTGGAGGTATATGGCGCTATATAGGGCGACCGACATCACGTGAGACATTGAAGGGGACAAACGACTCATGGGGGGACGGTGATGGACATTTTCAGAGCCGTGAATAAATGCACCAAACTTTCCTGCACATGCACGCAGCTGCTGTCGAAATGTACAGCTATGGCATCCAATTTTTTATTATTTTTTTATTTCTGGTAATTTCATAAGAACCCCCATCATAAAAGCTATGCGCCATTAAACTTGGGCTCCGCAGTCGCAGGTGTTTTTGCTTCATGCTTTTTTTTGATGAAGAAAAGACGAAATATGGAAACGCTCAAATCAATAAGGCCTTTTCTTCTTCTTCACCCAGAAGCCATATTACGCACACATTCAAACAATAACTAAACCCGCTATCTAACAAAAACAACCATTGCGGAGATCTTCTTTGTTTTGAACCGCAGATGATGAAAACGGTTGGAGAGCGAGCAGCCACCAAGGACTCGGTGTAATAACACCATTTGGCAGGAACTAAACAGGCCTGCGGGGATCTCACCGGATCATTCTGGATAAATGAACCTACATCCGCGCAGGTCACGGAACCGGTTTAGATGGAGCTGTTACGGGCTACTTCAGTTAAAAAAATGTTTTCTTATCTCAGTGAAAACTTCAAGACGTTCGCATGATTCAGAGAGCGATAAAAAAAGAAAAAAAGAATGAGCGTGTTTTTCATTGGGAGACGTTGAAACGGGTTCAAAGAGGCTGAGGTTGTTTTCACACAATGCCCCCCCTTCTCTCATCTTGATTCCCTTAAAATCTTGGCAGCGCGGTGGACAATAATATAACGTGTAATTTAAGGTATCATGAATCATAACTGCATGAAACGCAGTCAGACAACGGAGAGGTGCTGAGCCAAACACATCTGCAAAACACACACACACACACACACACACACAGAGAGAAAGAGAGAGTGTTTGTGTGTGAGAGAGAGAGAGTTTCTTAGGGGAGGATAGGCCACACGTGTAAATTTCATGAGCTGAGCTGCTCATTAACACGTTATTTATTGGCTGACAAACAGCTCCATAACATAACAAAGCGATGCAACCTGCTCTCTGTGTGTCATCGTCTCATTGAAGCCACTTTCCTCAACACTCGTCGGAGTCGGTTGATGAGGGAGTGACACGTCCGTATCAAACACACAGCAACGGTGGCACGCGCTGACTGCGTGGCGCCATCTCGCGGGGGGAAAGTGGAACGCCTCTAATAAAGAGAGCCTCGCGACAAAAAGGGCCAATTCAGAGCAGGACAGCTCATTTTGTGAAAAATATTAAAACAACTAGCATTCAACAGCAACACAAATGCAGTTTCTAAAGCGGCTTCAGCATGAACTGAACACTAACACTCATGAAGGCAGGTCAGCTCTGTTAGCCTTCATCCGTTTTAGCTAGATGAGTGTACTTTGGTTGTTTTTAACCTTTAAATTAAACGGTGTCACACCGACTATAAGTCTATTTTACAAATCTACGTGGCCGCTGTTCAAACACACTGAGTTAATAGTATTCTAAATTCCAGTATTGATTTATATTTTAAGGTCTCTCGACCAACAACTTTTAGTTGTTCCAAAACAAGAATGACAACCCGGGCTGACCGGTCCTTCTCTGTTGCTGCCCCTAAGCTCTGGAACAACCTTCCCCTTCATATTAGGGTGTCATCCACTGTACCAATGTTTAAAAGCCGTATTTTCCCTGGCCTATCACCTTCGATCTTAACTTGGCACTTTTGTGTGATTTGTGTCAGTTTGTCTTGATTTTAATGTCACTCACTGTTATTAATCCAGTCTTTGATTGTATGACTGCTTATCTATGGGAGGCACTTTGGGAAACCTTTGTTGTATTTTAAAATGTGCTGTACGAATACATTTAGATTGATTGATTGATTGGATGAAATAACGTATCTAACACAGCCCCTTGGACTGATATCTCACTCAGTTTAGCATCATGGAAGCTAACAGCTGCAGTGTGGTGTTATTGGAACAAGCAAATGCACAGTAGGCTACATATTGGCTTCGTAAAGTTTGGATTATTTATATTAAAAGTTTTTAAAGCTTATGTGAAATCATTTCATTCATGTAAGGGTGAATTGAAGAGTTTAATAGGTTCAAACTAAGCATAAATACAAAACAATTAGCAGATTAGCCTGACTTGAGCTCATTTTATTTAGCAAAAGTCTGAGAAACTATGACGTTACTTCAACTAGAAAGATATAAACTTCCTTGTACATTGAGTGGAACAGGATGTCTTATTTAGCATTGTGGCCAGTTCACCTGAGTACAATGTATGCTGGGACATATGCTAATAACATTGTTTTTTTGTCTATATTAGTTGATTGGATATAATTACATTTATTAGACAGTCTTTTGTTAACTCTGGCACACTCAACAACGTTTGTTATTGGGCACCATTCCTGTTAGATAAACCAATAAGACATTAATTAAATTAATGATATTTTGATACATTTTTAGTTTAGATGGAATTTGAAGGGTCGATTCAAAGAGTTTAGCTGGTTAAAATGATAGAAATTTGGGGCTGTTTTGTCTTGTAAAAGTGTGACAAACTATTACTTTAACTGAAAACTATAAGCTGCCTCGTACGTTGACTGAAACAGCACGTCATACAGTAGCATTCTGGAGAGTTCACATTCAATGCATGCTGGAATGTATGCCATCAAAACTTCTCAACAAACTTAATTTGATTAGTTTACTGGATATAATTACTTCGATTTATACGCAGCCGATTGTAGCTGAGGTGAGCCTAAGAACAAAGATCACCTCCGCTAACATAAAAAACAAACAGAAGTAGGCCTACACACCTAAAGCCGTTACATTTAGTGTACAGGTAACATTAATAACATTAATCATTGCTACATTCTACTTACATGCGCATGTTTTCAAGGTCCTAGAGTTGTGCATGCTTACTTACTGGGACACCTGAATGGAACAGAGCCGTCGTTAATGTTACGTACTTAACACCTGTGAGTCAAAATGTCTGCTATGAAAAAGCTCTATTACTAACTAAACTGATCAGAAACCAAGACACTTCTGATTTGAGAGGCTCACCTCAATTAAACTTACTAGCTTCATCCAAATTTAAATCATAATCGTTGAGCTCCCGAACATTAAGGTGTTGAGCCTTTCTGGATTGACAAACATAATGTTTCTCTTTTACATTGAGGCAACAATTAATGATCAGATTATTGCACTAAAGTGAATTAGACGGTTTTATGAGGTAACATGTGGTCTATGTAATGACAACTTCCACGTTGTGGTCTGTTAGTGTTCAGCCTCAACAGGAAAACACAAACCCAGATCAACTTCTGGTAAATGTTGAGTTTGACTAATTTAGAACGATTCAAAGAGTTCCTTGATTTGTCCAGTAGAGGGCACCGTTACACCAATAATAAGATACGACTTCCTGGCGACCAAAGAAACTTTTAATTACATCCACTTCTAATCTCATAGAAACTGGGCTGACACAAGTCCTTTATATCCCCACTGGGTGCATCTACATCTACGACTGGTGTGGAGTTGA